CTCGTAAAATGAATTGGTAAGGGTTGTGGCTCAGTGGTAGATCGCTTGCCTGGCACGTGTGAGGCCCTGGGTTCAATCCTCAGCACCACATATGAATAAACCAATAAAGTAAAAAATCCACTGGCAACTAAAAAATATTTTTAAAAAGTGAATTAGTAAGCATTAAAGATATGTTGAGCTAAAGAATTAAGACTGAACAGTGTAGAAGAAGAACAGTGTGACATGCAGTGGCTCCGTGTTCTAACAGTGAAGACGCAGCATAATTATCAGCAAATGGAAGGAGATGGGAAGGTGTATGAAAAGCAGGATTCCCTTGCTGGTTGCCTCATAAATATTAACTGAAAATAAAAAGATACTGTATTAGTCAACTTTCTGTCACTGTGGGAAAAAAAATACCTGAGAAAAACAATTTAAAGGGAAGCTTTATTTTGGCTTACTATTTCAGAGGTTTTAGTCCACGGTCACTTGGTTCTTTTGGTTCTGAGCCTGTGTTAAGACAGAATGTCATGGAAGCAAGCACATGGTGGTACAGAGTTCCTCACCTCCTATCCACCAGGGAACAAAGGGAAAGGGACAGATAGGGGCTGGGAAAAAATACTTTTCAAAGACACATCCCAGTGACCAGCAAGGCCCCATCGCCTAGTTTCCACCACCTTCCAGTAGCTGGAGATCAGGCTTCAACACATGAGCTTGTGGGAAGACATTTAAGGCCCAACCCATAATAGACAGTATTTCAAATTAGATCCTGAGGAATAAGGAAAGACTAGAGAAAGAAAAGATGGTCACCTAATATATTCTTTATGTAGAGAACAAATAAACTATTGCTGAAAAAGTGGAGGTATTATATACAAGGTTATTGCATAAAGAATTGGTATATACATAACCATGAAAACAAAAATACTGACTTAAAAATATAGTCTCCAACTTTAAGTAGTTCAATTTAGATTTTTCACCTTTATGTTCCTTTATGGTGGAACAAAAGTGATACACAGCCAGTAGAAACCATCTTTCAAATATTTTGAATTGGATCTGTTCCCAGGCTTGTGACATGAGGTCCAGTCCTCTCACCATGTGGCCAGTACTTCAAACCACAGCTCCCAGTCAGCTACACAATCATGAAAGGAAACAAACAGTACTCACCAGTGTATGTGTTAAGTTAGAATGTTGGTAGATTTGATGAATTAAGTGCATTTTGACTTACATTATTTTCAACTTACATGCATCCACATGTGTATGGATGTATATATCCTTACACTAAAATAGTGGTTGGATACATTTTTAAAAATAGTTACCTGAAGAGAAAGTGATAGAGGACACAAGGTACAAAGCATAAAGATGAAAGCTAGGCTTCTTTGAATTTTTTGTTTGTTTCACAGATGTAGTTTTGGAGCCATGTAAGTATTTTACATAATTTAAATCAAAATTGAACTTTAAGGAACAATCTCAAAACATCAAATTAAATGTAGAGAAACAAATTGTGTTTTAGAAAGAAATTATTCCTAATAATGTTAAAACACAGTGATTGGATGATACATTTCTTTCTTTCTTTCTTTGGTACTGGGGATTGCCTGGCTTAAATATACATTTCTAATGTAATATACTTTCAAAACACATAAGTTTTTTAAAAATATTAAATTGTTTTTAGTAATCATTTTGTTAATGCTAATATTTAGTGTTTTTATTTGATCAAATTTATGATAAGGTAAATGAGTAATTGGGTTGGTGTTTTGAAAACCTGGAAAGAAACAGTTAAAACAGAGGAAGGTAATTTGAAATTCTATAGTCCTGGGGAATGCTGTGGCACACTTTGTAATCCAAACTACTTGGGAGGCTAAGACAAGAGGGTCCATCACAAGTTCAAGGACAGCCTTGGCCACTTAGGGAAATCCTATCTCAAAAAATAATAAAATAAAAAGGGCTGGGAGTGTAACTCCATGGTAGTCACTGGATTCAATCTGCAGTACAGGGCAGAAAAAAATTCTATAGTCTGAATTTGTTTGTCAATATCACCTCATGGTATTTCTTTTCTTTTCTTCCTTTTTTCCTTTTTTCACATAGCTCCCAGCCTTGTCTACTGAAAGGTTAGAAATAATGGCCAACCGGTAGCAGCCAGCAGCCCTTGTGCTCAGTTTCTGAATTCCGTCTCTTGGTGCTGGTGTAATGGTTAGAGAACTGCTGATTCTGGAGCAGATGTATAGGATGAGTCTGAAGCATCAGTTTATACCAGAAGGCAAAGAGAATGACAAAGAATAGTGGAATTCCCTAAAAAGCCTCCCACAGCCAATTTGAAGAGACTTCCACTAGATAAAGCTCGGACAGTCTTGAGTATCACTGAAGAGCAATACTGAAATAGGTTGGAAAATCCCAAGTAGGCTTAAATCTATAAGCTCTAGGATGTATATAAACAAAAATTCTTTCTAATCATCCCTAGAGAATACTAAGGAAGTAACTCATTATTGTTTAAATTGGTAAATAAAGGGAGAGAAAATCAAGGGTGGTTTTGTTGTTATTGTTGTTTTCCTTCATATGTGAACATTCCTCAGAGTAACCAAATAGTGGAGGAAGGGCAGTTTCTCTTTCATAGAAGAATCCCTGCTGATAAATGAGGACGGAATGCCAACATCCTGTTGAGAGTGCATAACCCACCTCTGAAAAATTAATACAAACAAAAAAACAAAACAAAATCCTCAATCTGCTTGAACCTTTAGTTCTAACTACTAATTTACAGGAAAGGGAAGAGACAGCAGAGTATGTTAAATTACACCACAGGGATTCATTCATTAAAAAACAGACTATGGGAAATTGTGCAGAACAAATGACTCACTTTATTTCAACAAACCGCAAGGAAAAAATATGATAGAGGAGAAATCTGTAGATTAAAAAGCACTTAAGAAATGTTAACCAGTTGCAATATATGAATCTTAATTTAGGTTTTGGTCCAAACAAATGGAGGGATAAGAAAGAACATTTATAGGACATTTGAGGGAATATGAGCACTACTTTGATATTTAATGATATTAAAGGATTGTTGACCTTGTGTACAGTATGTGTGTGTGTCTTTCGGGGGAGGGGGGAGAATATGTGCCTTTATTTCTTTTCCTAAGAGGAATCTTTATTTTACAAAGATATATTGAAATACTTACAGTGAAATGATACACTACCTAGGATTTTCTTCAGAATGTTCTAGGGGAATCAGTGAAGTATTATAAAGGGAACAAAATCAGTCATGAGTAGAGAATTGTTGAAGCTTGTTGACAAGTACACGAGGGTCCATTATATTATCCTTTCTCAACTTTTATAAGTTTTTAATTTTTCATTATGGGAAAATTACAAAAAGTGAAAAACTGGCCACAGCTGTTTCATAAGCATGATTCAAATAAAAATCCCAGTAGTAGAACTTACTATTATAATCAAATTTAGCACCCTTTTTTAATGAGCTTTTTGTTTTGTATTAATTTTGGATTTGCAGAGATAGTATAGAGTTCCCATATACTTCTCACCCAATTTTGCCCATTACTGATGTCTTATATTACCATGCCACATTTGAAGAAACTAAGAAATCAACATTGGCCCATTGCTGTTAATGAAACACCAGACTGTATTTGGATTTCATGAGTTTTTCCATTACTGCCTTCTTTCTGTTCTGGGCTCTGATCCAGGGTACCACCTTGCATTTAATTATCATGTCTCCCAAGACTTCTTTGGCTGAGACAGTTTATCAGTCTTTCTGTTTTTCTTGACCTTGATAGTCTTATATTAGCAAGGTACCCTATAGAATGCCTCCCAATCTGGGTTTGTCTGATTTTCTCTCATGATTAGGCTTTTGGGGTTATGGATTTGAGGGAAGAAAACCACAGAGTTGAAGTCCCCTTCCCATAGCATCACATCAGGGCTACATGCTATGGACATGATTCCACTAATTGCATGAACCTTCATGGCCCAGTTGAGGTCACATTGGCTAGGTTTCTCCTCTCTATAAAGTGAAGGGTTTCCCCTTTCCCTTGTCTGTTCTTTCAAAGCATGTCACTAAGTCTAGCCCACCCTCAAGTTGGGTGGGGAAGGTAGTTAAGCTCTACTTTCTGGGGGGTGGGTATAGCAGGATCCCCAAGACTCTCCCCAGGCTGTGATTCATTACAAGAGCTCACAGGACTCAGCTACAGTTGATCCAGAGCAAAGCCAGGAAAGGGAAGAGGTGCTGAGAGAAGTCTGGAGGAAACCAGGCAGAAACTCCCAAGACTTCTGTCCCAATTCCACGGATGTGCCTGACTCCCCTAGCAACAGGTTGTGACAACACGCACAGAGTGCATTCAGAGTACCTGGGTGTCCAGGGTTTCTACTTGGACTAGTCAAACAGGCATCCTCAGCCTAGCGAATACCAGAATTCCATGCGCCAGAAGGAAGGTGTCAGTGTTAACCGCAGTCTTTGTGCAAACAGTTTAGGCACAGTGAGCTGTTTTATAATTTATGGAAAGTTATACCAGTGAAGGACACTGATTACTGGTCAGGATTCCAGTCCTCAGCCAAGGACAGCCTTGCAAGCAGGCTTTTCTGAGGACAGCAGTCTCAGTCTGTTGCTGCTCGTTCTATTCTATCAGGGGAGTTATCTACATATCATTACTTTTACCACCCATTTTTATTATTGAGAGTAAAAAAAAATTGTAAAAAAAATGTAATGCACAATGAAATTTAAAGTCAGATCAAAGTGTCTAATTTCTTCCTAGTGAAATATGTGGTACTCTTAAGTCTCTTGTTCTTTTAGTATTTCTCTTGCCCATTTTCAAACATTGCTATAAAAATATTACTCATGGCAATTTTTGGAGCTTTTCATAATTAAAAAAATGCCTCCAGGTTATGACCTCATTTATTGCCAAATAATTAGAAGGCTGTAAATTTCAGTAGTAAGTAATAACATAACAACCAGAACTTGAGTGGAAAGCTCAGAAAATAATTATTAAGACTTCAGACACAATAAGTACTAGTCATTTACTTCCTTTTAATAGGAAAAACGTGGTCTTCGAGAAATGCGAGTTCTTGAAAATTTGAAGAATATGATCCATGAAACAAATGAACACACTCTTCCCAAATGCAGAGAAACGATGCAGGACAACTTGAAAGAAGTTCTCCAGAGATGTAAGTTTTTGATTTTGATTTCAAATTAATGCTATGACAAATTTATTTTCTGAAGTATTATGGTGGGAAAGGAAAAGAAGAAACTTCTAATCAGGACACATGAAAGTGGTTGTCTAGTGACTAATGCAAGTTGCCTTGGTATTAGGAGCATGCATCTCCAAAGCAAGATGTGTGCAACGCAGTCCTTCTAGCATGCAAAAAAATCAAAACAATTTTACCTTTTAAAAAGAAAGTTACTGGGCTGGTGTTGTGGCTCAGTGGTAGAGCACTTGCCTCACACGCATGAGGCATAATTTCGATCCTCAGCACTACATAAAAATAAATAAATAAAATAAAGATATTGTGTCCATCTAAAAATAAAAAAATTTTTAAAAAGTTACCTGTAAGAAAATGTTTGATGATGTGGAATTAGAATATGAAGTGGAAATTTTTTTCCAAACAGACTATCAGAGGTTTTAGTTCCGTTCTTTTCCCCCCCAAAAAAATAATCCTTTCATAAATGTTTGTATTTTATCACTTTTCTTTATTAAGTGACATTCTAATGTAGAGTGATAGTTGATCAAAAGATTATTTATTATTATTTTTAATATCATAACATAGAGAAGCTTTATGAGTAGCTGTTTTTAAAATTAGCAGTATATCATAAACTTAAGGCTTCTCAGATTTATATTGAGAACATTTGAGGTATGATATACTGGCAAATAATGATGGGTTACTGAAGTGCAAAATGGAAAAGTATCCTTGATAGTGGTGGGGACAAAACTGACCTATAATAGAATGGCCGTGAAGGAGATCAGCAGAGACCTTGGTTCATAATGGAGATAAATGGCTTTGTGTGGAACTAAGTCCAGGCTGATGTACTCTAATACTAAAAGAGGGTTGGAAGGGTAAATTCCCAAGATCATATTTGGCTTGAGTGGAACAGCAAGAAGTCTGTATGTTTGTACAGAACCCAGACCCCCAAAAACGTTCCAGTACTATGCTAAAAGGAAAACTGCAATTGTTATTAATCAGAATGTTTATGTATGCATTTGATATGTGCCTATAACTCTTCTTTTCCACACTTTGATTATATAAAAGTAAATTGGGTGAAACTCAGTAGAAAACAATGAACAGCTATTTTGACTGGTTGCCTTCTTGGTCTGAAACTCTGAATAAGGACAGCCTTTTGAAAGTAAAGTCTTCCCAGTGAAATAGAAAAATATTAACTGACAGTTTGGATACTGGACTGAAAATACATTTTCTTGAATGGATGAATTAAAACACAAAATGTGAAGTTAATGGGGTTCTAACATCTGTGAAATACTTTGGTCTGGTTGGCATTAGAAACCAGGCAATGGCTTTTGGAGCTGTTTTTCTGCTAACAGCAGGAAAAGCTTCTTCAGTTGGGCTCCGACATAAGAATGTCCTTGTGCCTATTATGCTGACTGTCAACAGTTACAATGGAGATAATTATCTGCCTTTAAAGTTGATGTAGTTTTAAAAATTAGTCTGGACCTGGCTGTCATTCCTAGCAAGTTTTATTTTTAAAAACTTGACATTCTAAATTATATGTTAGCTTATTTATTTTCAGTACTGATTGATCAAGGAGTTTTGCAAAATCATGTAAGCAAGCTTATATATTGAATATTTTCTAAAAGAGTACAAGACTAGTGATGAGTTGAGTTTAGTTTTGTGCTTATTAATAAAGCCGCCATGTCTGTATCTTCCTATACATGTTTGAGAACATACAGGGGATTCAGTCCATTGTCTTCCTAGAACCCTGCAGATTTGGACCATACTCCACTGGTCTGACATTGTACACACAGCAGACTGTGGAACAGGAAGCCAGGGACCTCTAGGAGTCTCCCAGTGGAGAGTTGGGCCAGAATCCTCAGCTTGGTATCGTTTCTGCTTTTGGCTACATTACTACTCACTTTGCAGAGTGTTCTGGGATTGGGTGAGCAGAGATTTTAGGCCAAAACTCATCCATGGTTCCTTAAAAACCACAAAAAGTAAATGAGTCTACCAGGATACAAGAAAGCAACCCTGAAGGTCATCAAAATATTGCCTTTACATATTCTCATTCTGAATATACCAGTGGTGTCTGGGTTCCACTTATTGGTTATTCAATAGGCTTATAAATTTCACCAAGTTTGAGGTCAAAAGATCTTGCCTCAATGTAAAGGGTCCTTGATTTTAGAGAGTAAGGAGGACAAAAAGCTTCTAGGTTGTTCCTCAGATAACCTTACATGGCCAAAGTTGGAGAATATTCTCTCCCCTCTCCCTCTTTTTAAGTACAGTGATTTTTCTTATTTTTTAAAGGATCTTTTTAAGTGATAAGAAATGAAGAAAAAATAAATTCTTTCTCTCTTTCTCTCTTCTTCCCTCCCTCCCCCCCCTCCCCCCCCCCCCCCCCACTCCTGAGTTAAACCCAGGGCCTCACATATGTAAGCACATGATTTACCCCTGAGTTACACCTGTAGCTAAGAAAGCACATCATCTACCCCTGTGTTATTACACCCCTAACTGAGAACTTTTTAAAAGAAAGAGGAAAAAAAAAAAAAAAAAAAGGAAAACAATAAATCACACTAAATAATTACCTAAAAATAACAAGTGCTTTTCAACTTTTGTGAAGATCATTCCAGACATCTGCTTGTTTAATCCAATAGAAGGATAGATGGAGGAGCGATCATTGGATGAGTAGATAGGGAAGGATTGAAAGGAAGAAAGAAGAAAGGACATTTGGCAACAATGATATTGTATAATTTTTAAATTGAAGTATTAATTTTTAATTTCATTTACATTTGACAACAAAAATTTAAAGAAAACAGAAGGCAATACCTTAAAACAAGTGTTTTTACTATAAAAGATAGTAGTTACTAAAAAATCATTCTAAGGAGAATAATTATAAAAAAACATTTAGAAGGTGCAGTGTTCTTGCTGCTGTTTATTTTTATTGTTTCCATTGTTGGCAGCATGAATGCACGCCTCCCCAGTGGGAGGGTGGTGGGGCTGTGTCCGTGTCCCCTCACTTCTCTCCCCCACCCTCTTACTACTAAGTTTCCCTTTCCATTTATTATATCTGTAATGGTATTATAGTTCTCAATTTATTTACTTAGCTCTGCAGTCTCACTTTTTATTTCATTCTGTATTTTATCATCACATTTGATTTCTTTCATTAAACTCATATTGTTGATTTGTATGGCAAAGGACCTATCAAGAATTTTATTAGGTTTTCTTTCAGAATGGATGTTCTCACATATCATGTTCCTTTCTCCCCTCGCTCATCTATAATGAAAGTACATTCGAATTCTAAGGGCTTTGGCAACTTGTTTTCTCTATCCTATTTTGACTTTTGGGGGATGACTTGGATAGATGGGATTTGTATTCTTGATTCTTTACTAAAATCTGTTCCTATTCTTGGCCACCACTTTTCAGTATTTGTAGTACACAGTCATAATTTTTTCGTATTTACTAAGCGATGAATTTTTGACCTTTTTTCAACTTTTTTTATACTATTTTACTATTAGAATTTTCACCTCTTTTTTTATTTAACTATAAAACCCAGTAAAATAAATATTTATTATCCTCCCCACTTTATAGTGGAGGAAACTGAAATTTGTAGTGGTTTAATACTCCTGGTTCTATGGGAGGAACTATAGTGCAAAGTAAATTCTGCTGACTCCAGAGCCCAAGTTCAGCTTCAGGCCATCACCTTCTGTACAGCCAATAAAAGTCCTCCTTTCCTCTGGGACCTCACTCACTCTCTCGGATTCCCTTCTAACCCAGGCTCCTCCTTAGCTTTGTAGTTCCCACTTAGAGCTTTGACTTTAACATTGGGTTACCCCCAACTGCCATCCCATCAATACTTAATTTCTTAGTGATCTCATATAGAATCATAGCTTTAAATGTCAACTGCATGCCAATCAATAATGCCATATTTTTGTTTTCAGCCTAGGCCACTCCTCTGAATTCCATATACAACTGCCTGGTCTGATAAGCATCTCACTATAACATGTTTAGAACCAAACTTCAAATTATTTTTGTTCAACTTTGAGACTAATTAGAATCTGATCATCCTTGCTACTTCACCAACTGCTACCATTCTGGTTTAAGCCACTCTCATCCCTTATGTAGATTATTCTAGTACTTCATACCTGATCTCTTTACTTCTTCTTTTTCCTCCCTATAGTCCATCCTCCACAGAGAAGCCTGAACGATCCTTTTATATAACTAAGTTCTTGTCATAACTGACCTCAGAATCTCCTCATCTTACATAGATTAAAAGCCCAAATCTTCACGATGACCTGGAAGTTTCTACATAATGTCCCACATTCTCACTTTTATTTCTTACCATTTCCTTTTCCCTCCCTTCATGCCAGCCACTGGCCTCCTTCATCTTCCTCTGATGCACCGAGCATACTCCCTCCCTCCTCAGCATCTTTGCACATACTGCTCCCTTGGAACACTCTTCTCTCCGATGCCTGAGCACCCTCATTTGCTGTAGGTCTCTGCCCAGATGCTAGTGTGAGACCTTTCTTGGCCACCTCTTCCACTTGGCATTCACTGGCTTCTCTGCCATGCTTTGTTTATCCATATCATCCTTCACCAGCTGACATGCTAAATGTTTACCTACATGTTGCCTGTTTTCCATACTGAAATTCAAGTTCCTTGAGCTTGGGGACTTTTTGTTCACTATAGTCTGACCTATGACTGTGTCTGGCACTTTGTAGCTGCTCAGTAATTATTTTTCATTAAAATGAATGAGTGAGCCAACATCTGCTTCTAACACCAAACCAAAATTATTATGATAGAATTTCTCCTTTATGTTGGGAAAATCGGGACAATGCTAGCTGCATGTTTGGCATAATAACTCTATCAAGGTGCTAACTTCCTTGAAAAATCTTGGTTAAGAGAAAGGCATCTGCTAAATTCCTGACCTTTTATTCTTTAAGTCAACATAGCCTCCTAAAACAGTGAGACAGCCGGGAAGTTTCTTTGTACTGAATTAGGTAGAGCCAGTAAGAGATGTGGAAGTGATAGGAAAGTTCCGAGAAATGGACTTTTTCCTCTTGGAATCAGTAATTATGAAGGAAGAGAATGTTTGGTGTAGGAAGATGATTTTCTTAGATTTTACAAAAGCATATTTCAGAATTCAGAAAAGAAATTTTATCTGTTGGGTAGCTAATGAGTTAAAATGTGTTGTTACTTCACAGGGGCTGAAATTTCTTAAAATGGATGTTCTATTCAGACATAAAGAAAATTCTGTTGAGAAACAAGTGTGCCTTTGTCAGATATGTCATAACTAAAGGATGTAACAAATGACAAAATAAGTGGCACAGTCCTGTAACTCTTAGAGTAAGCTCAGAATGATCTGAAAATGGCAACCAACTAAAGACAGCAAGTTGGATTTTTAAGTTATGTTCACAGAGCCAGGAAGGGGGAAAAAAACAGGAAATGATAGAACCACTGCCTGGGAAAGATGATGTCATCTTAATAAATGCTGCAGAAAGGAGGCAGATCTAATCAACTCCTATTTTGTTTTGTTTTCATCTTTTCTTTTAGGGAAAAAACAATGATTGGGAACCTAATTTTCAGTCCTTAAATATTATCTTTGATAATAACTAAAATTAATGGTTGCTGATAAAAACATAGCTTTTTGAAAACAAATTCCTCCTCTTTTACCATATTCCCAGAGGGAGAAGCCTAACATTTTTCTGAAAGAGTAATCACAGTCCCTGCCCTGTTATGGAACTTGTGACCTAGTTGGGCCCAGCCTGGGGTGGGGTAGGAAGGCATAATTGTAAAACAATTAGATCAACCTCCAGTTTAAGCAAATGCAAGATAAAGTGGTAGAATACACATACACGTGTATCTGATGAAAGAATTTCAAATCAGGAAAAATCTTTATAGAGAATAACTAATCTAGGAAGGCTTTGTGAAGGCAATGACCTTGAACTCAGCTTTTGAAACAATCAAAACATTTTAAAAAGAGGAAAGGAATAAAGAAAGCACTTTCAATAGGGTAGTGCAGTAAATAGAATAATAGTAACAATAACATTTTGGGACTAATGGCTGTGTGCAAAGAGCTATTTTGGGTGATTTTATTAGTAGTATTTGAATTATTATAAGCATAATCTCTGCTGTTATCTCATGTAACAATCATGTCAGTCCTGAAGTCCTATTATTGGTTGTTATGCTCGTTTAATAAGTGAGGAAGTAAGGTGTGAAGGGAGTAGGAGCAGCACCAGGAACAGTGCTGGTACATGGTGAATGCTCAGTAAATATTTGATGAATGAATGACTGAGAAAACATGTCCAGGATCAGCCACACAACCAAGGGCTCAAGCCTGGATTGGGCTGACCAAGGCTTCCTCAGCCTGCATACCAAACATCTTTATTTGAGTGAAGTGAGAACACCTGTAAACAGAAATAATAGATCTGGTAAATGAAAAAATTAGAGTGACTGAAGAATTGAAACTGGTTTCATTGATGAAATATTAAGAGGCAGTAAAGTATGGAGCCAAGTCTTTTGAGAGTCAGAAAGATTTGATTTGAAATGCTGTTTCCTGTTCTTATTAGTTGTATGATCTTCTTGAGTGACAGGATCACCTCTCTGTTCCTCAGATGTGTCATCCATAAAATGGGATGGTCTGTTTTCTAAGAGAAAAATAGGATTAAGGGGATTAAAGCATGTGAATTTCATTTTTGAATACCAAGGATTGAACTTAGGGGTACTCGACCACTGAACCATATATCCAGCCCTATTTTGTATTTCATTTAAATTCACTGAGTTGCTTAGCATGTCACTTCAGCTGAGGCTAGCTTTCAACTGCCTCCTGCCTCAGCCTCTTGAGGTGCTGGGATTATAGGTGTGCACCACTACGCCCGGCAAGCATGTGAATTTCTTAGTGCAGGTCTTGGCACATAGTAAATATTCAAATAACTTCAGTAATGAATACATGAGTATCCCTTATCTGAAATGCTTGGTAATAGAATCGTTTTGAATTTTGGCTTTTTTTCTTTTATTGATCTCAGAATATTTGCACATATGATCTCTTGGGAATAGGACCCAAGTCTAAACAGGAAATTCGCCTCTAATTCATATATATCTTATTCATATAGCCCAAAGGTAATTTTATGCAGTATTTTTAGTGTGCTTGCATTTTGCCTGAGACCTACTGCGTAAAGTCTGTGTAGAATATCCCACTTGTGTTGTCAGAACTCAGAAGGGTTTTGTTTTGTTTTGGTACCGAGGATTGAACCCAAAGTCACTTAAACACTGAGCCTCATCCCCAGCCCTTTTTATTTATTCATTTTAACTTTGAGGCAGGATCTCACTAAATTGCTTAGGGCCTCAGCCTCCCTAGCTCTGAGATTACAGGTGTGCACCACTACACCCAGGTAGTGCTCAAAATGTTTTGAATTTTGGAGCCTTTTAGATTTTGGATTTTCAGATTAGGGGTACTCATCCTGTACTGGCAGTTTGGGTTCTTAAGAAATGGAAATGACTTAATAGAAATGATCTGGAGAGTTAAACTTGTCCGGGCTGCCAGGATGCATTAGAAGACAAAAGAGCAGGGGTGAGAAGAATGGTAGAAAGTTGTTGAAACTATCTAGAGGTGAAGCACTGCCTGCAAGAAAATGGTGGTGTGGGTGAGGAAGGGTGGGAGTCAGCGAATTGGAGAGATGAGGGAAAGCCATAATTCCTCAGAATGCAGTGATCAGAGAATTCTGAGGTTGTTCTTGACACTTGTCATTGAAGTCAGTACTCATATGCCGTTGGCTTGCATATCTCAACGCTCAACGATGATGGTCGTTCTAATTACAATATCCCAAATATATTGGCAAAACTTGTTTTTCCCTTTTAGCCACCCACCAGCCATCAAAATGATCGGGTTTTTTTTGTAGTTTCTTGAGATTAACAGAATCCAAGTCAGTCTCTCCTGACTAAAGGCTAACAATTGTAAACCAACTGTCTGTTTTATTTCAGTGCAAGCAGCTAATGACTCCGTCTGTAGACTCCAGCAGAGGGAACAGGAACGAAGAAAGGTAAAAGTAGATAATGAGCATGTGATTCCTGGATGTTTCTTTTCATTTTTTAATTTTTTTGGTACTGTTGATTGAACCCACCCTACCACTTAGCTATATCCCCAGCTTTTGTTTTGGGGTGAGGTGGGTTTACTGGGGATTGAAGTCAGGGCACTCAACCTCTGAGTTAACATTCCCAGCCCTGTTTTTTATATTTTATTCAGAGACTGGGTCTCACTGAGTTGTTTAGCTCCTTGCTTTTGCTGAGGCTGGTTTTGAACTTGCAATCCTCCTGTCTCAGCCTCCCAAGCTGCTGGGATTAGAGGCATGTGCCACCATGCCCAGCTAAAGAACTCTTTATTTTTTATTTTGAGACTGGGTCTCGCTAAATTGCTTCAGGCCTCTCTGAATTGCTGAGACTAGCTTCTTCCTGTGATCTTCCTTCCTCAGCTCCTGAGTCACTGGGCTTACAGGCGTGCACTGTAACACCCAGCTCTCTGGGTGTTTATTATCATCATATCATTAGCAATTGCTTTTGATCAGAAAATTCTCTGAATTATTTTGATTTATACAGTGAGTTAATTTATTGAATATGGGTTGAGGAGATGTGGTCACATGGTCACACCATCAATATTTTTATAATTCAAATTGCAGATCTCTTTTTTATCTTTTCAGCATTTTCACCTTTTCCCTGAAAGTGGTATTTGTCTCATAAAGGAGAGAGAAAATAGAAGTTTTACATGTAGCAAAAAAATACCCACCAGATTGGAAATATAAATCTTTCCTTTGAGCCTTAAGCATAGAATATATTATGTATATTTCTTCTAGAAAAGGAAGCATTCATGCCTGCAGATGGGTTATTTAATGAATAGTCATAGGAGTATGTGAATCACTTGATGGGCGGTGCTTTGCTTATTTGAATTATATCTTAACTAAATTCAGATGTGGAAAACAGCATACAAATTTAAGTTTCTGTGATAATTTGGTGTTTTCACTTGGACTTTTCATAAAGTGCTTTTGTAACTTATTCATCACTCACAGTTACACTAAGACATGTGAAAATACTAAGTCACTCTGAAAACAATTCCTTTTTGCATGTGTGCATATCAGTAAATGTTACTATCTCTCTCTCTTTGGAAATGTTGTAGTTAATCCACAGTACAAAGTTCAGATCTGTTACTACATAAGTATATAATGGAGTGAACCTTTCCAGGGCTTTAATTTCTACACTCTGTACTCAATTCCAGATGTAAAGTTTGAAAATTCAACATTTGGATGATTTAAGTCCTACTGAAAGGACTCAACTGATGGGAAGACTGCCCAAGGGTAGTAGAGTCCCAGCAGGCAGGGTCAGGGAGCACGGCCACTGCTGAGCACATGGATGAAATAGCAAGTCACAGAGCCATAGTTCGTTCGGACTGTCCATTTTGGGGTGTAGTGCCAGCATGATGCTCCTAAAACTGCAAAGGCAGGCGTGGGGGCTTGAGTAGGTCATGCCAGGCTGGAGAGCAGATGATTTTTTAATCCTCTTCTTGCTAGGTACCACTGTGTATGAAAGTTTTTTAATTTGTTAAGTTTAAGATAATTGCTACACTCAAGGAGTTAAAAGTTGGGGGGCTCCAAACCCCTAAAGCTAACACAATGTAGGATAGTAAGAACTGTGATCAAGTTGAAGAAAAATTTGTGCAATTTGGCAAAAGGAATAATTTATTAGGAAGATGGTGACATTCAAGCCTGACCTTGATCAGTCAATAAGAATTCAGTTGCTGGATGATAAGAAAGATAGTGCAGGGAAGGAATGTAACCTATGCAAGGGCAAAAGATGCAGGAAAGCAGTGGTCTCATGGAGCTGGTGTGTGAGCATCAGGTGGTTATTTCTGGAGGTATTAGAGGAGCCAGCCGAAATGCTCTATTAAGCCATCTGTTACTGGAGGCACTAGGAGCATTTCTGTTATTAAGCAGCAGAATAACCGTCTGATAGAATACTGGCTATACATTTTAACATGTAGTTCTCTTGGCTTTCAAAATGGAAAAGCATTCTGTGCCTCATCTACTTCTCTGACACGTTGCAATGTTACGTAAGCAGATTAGGGTGAGTTTGCACTCACACCTGAGTTGGTCTTTCAGACATGTCAAAACAGTTACAATTCTGATAAACAGAAATTCTTTTTATTCTTGAGTAGGATGAACCCTTAAACCATAATTGGAATATTTCCTCTTATCACTTTGAATTATATTCATATTTAACATATTAGCCTTCTCTATATAGGAGAAAAATGACCAGACTGCATAAAAAATATCTGGCTTCTTCTGTTTATATGGTTGGTTCTTTTATTAGCTGACTGTATGCCCTTGGACGAGTCCCTAAGCTTCAAGCACACGGGAGGCTGAGGCAGGAGGATCACTTGAGCCCAGATCAGTCTGAGCAACATAGTGAGCCCTGTCTCAAAATAAAATAAAATAGAAAGGACTGGGGATGTAGCTCAGTGGTCAAGTGTCCCTGAGTTCAGTCCTCAGTATAGAGAAGGGAAAGGGGGCAGAAGAAGAAGAAGGAGGAGGACCAAAAAAGGTGGTGGTGGTGGGGGGGGGGGGCTCAAGGAATTAGACCAGTATATTTCTTAACTGTCTTTATGTCTGAGAATGTTGTTATACTAATTTTTGTAAAATACTAAAAGTTAATGTTTTTGAATGTACTGCAAAGCTGAGTTTCACTGAGAATTACTGTAGAATATATGAAACCTCTGTTAGTGAGGAACCACCCTGATTTTCTTCTCTCAAGATGGTTTAGTAAAATTAATCAGCTTAAAGGTATTAAAGGGATGCATTTTCACAGCCCAGCAAAAAGTGAAAATTCTTTATAGTCTTAGTGGGACAATGAGCCTTGTGTCTTAAATTTTCATTTTTTTAAAATGTTTATCTACTTACTAGAACAATTTGAAGTATGGATCTTTAGGATTTTTTTTTAACTGCCATATCTAGCTTTTTCTGAAATTTTCACATGGCAGGGTGTTGGACTATATGTACAGTCCACCTCCGTGTCTGTGTGTGTGTGTGTGTGTGTGTGTGTGAGAGAGAGAGAGAGAGAGAGAGATAAATATGTAGAAAATAAAAATGACTTCTATTTGCATTTTACAGGCTAATGTTAATTGTTGCTTTTGCTTATCCTGTTGGCCACATTTTGTATATTTGAAAGGCTCTCAAAAGCAAAGAAAGATGGGAGTAGTGATGGAATAAAATAGACTATTGCCATTAATCATTACTTCTTTTTTGCCAAGACAATTTGTGGAATTCTGCCGGAAGTAAATTGATAAGCGTCATTCAGCCAAATCACATTTCCCACAATTGATATCTAAAAGTATATTCAAAAGAACAATAAATGCACATTCCCTACTTATTTAACATGTCTTGAGAACTGCCATTAATACAAAGGTTACATTTTGCGTGCTAGCACTAAGTAGTGAATTGAAAATGCAATTGGTTTATAGAGTTCACTAGCTCTGAAAAATAGGCCATTAGGAGACAGAAGGTGATTGATATCGTCAATAATTTAAATTTAGGTTCATGTGCAGCATCCACTCTTGAAGCGCTGTCCAGCCACGCCAGAGACAGTGAAATAAATGTAACTGTTTCAGTCTTGTCCACAGATATTTATTAGATTTGGTTATGCTTCTTCATAATTTCTTTTTATGAGGGAGATGAGATCATATAAAGCCATATTCTTGAAAAGATTTGGAGAATACTGAGTAATATTTCCTGCTCTTCTCTTTAAAATAATTTTTGGCACTTGTACTGATATTTCTTACCAAAGTAGTTTTTTCTGTGCCTGGGTAAAGTGTGTGTAAAATTAACAGCACGTATATTGCTGACATATGTTCCAGAATACCTTTTAAACCTTAGTTGGATTATTCAGAATTGTTTCTTACACCAGCATTTTTCACTTCGATGCTGTTGACATTTTGGACCAGATAGAAAGGTCTTTGTTCTGTTGCTGAGGATTGCTGCCAGTGCACCATGGGTTGGCTGCCAGTAGCTCCTCCCCTGACCTCTGTTACAATGACCAAAAATCTCTGGAGAAAGAAGCACTCCCCCCACCCCAGTTGAGACTCACTGATTCTAACTAATGTGAGCAAAACTATCTTTAGTTTGTATTCCGGACTTTATTTATTGAACTGGTTCTAGATATAGTTTAGCTTCAGGATTTGTTTTTATTTAAATTTATCTTTTATGGGATATAAATAGATATAGATAGGTATCTCAGTATATTATTACTATTTCTTTCTCTGTTGTGGCTTAATTTGTACAATTTACTCAGTAGAAAGATATAACACCATTGCTGCTTATGACTTCTGCTGCATGTTGTAGCTCACTAATAAACTGCCTCTTCATTTTCTTTTAAACTTAGAATTTTCTAAGTTTATCCCCAAAAGAAAGCAAATATATCCATTTAAGAATGCAATTGTTTTCATCTGAAACTTGATTTCAATTTTTTTTTATTGTGGTAAAATATGTACAGCATAAAATTCACCTTCTTAACCATTTTTTTCCCCCTAACCAAATTTTTAAGTTTACATTGCAGTGACTTTAAATATATTCCCATTGTTGTGCTGCAGTAATATCACCACCAACTCTCGGTAAAACTCTTTGATCTTGCAAAACTAATGAGATTCTGTATCCACTAACCATTAACTCCCACTTCCCTCTGCCCACACTCCTCAGAACCACCGTTCTGCTTTCTGTCTCTGAATTTGGCTGCTCAAAGTGGAATCATATAATATTTGGGTTTTTTGTGACTGGTTTATTTCTTTAGTATTATATCATCAAGGCTCATCTGTGTTTGTAGCATGTTACAGACTTAAGTTCCATTTTAAGGCTAAAGAACTATTCCATTATGTGTATAGACCACATTTTGTGCACCTATCCATCTGTCTATGGGTGCTTGGGTTGCTTCCACCTTTGAGCTGTTGTGGAAAATACTGCTGTACGCATGAGTGTGCAAATATCTGTTCACATTCTTACTCTCTGTTCTTTGGGGTATGACCTCAAAGTGAAATTACTGGGTTATGTGTGATTCTACATTTAACGTTTGGAGGAACCTCTATAATATTATATAGCTAGGTTTACCAAAAAGCCCAAGTTTTTGTCTTCCTTAAACATGGAGCTCTTATATGACTTTTTAAAACTGTTTTGGATGAAAATCTTTAAAAATATGTTCTTCTATGCATAAGTTTTATATCATGGAGAGAGAGCGGGGTTGGGGTCAGAGAGAGAGGATTGTGTTTCTATACCAAATGCCTTCAAATACTGTGCTTCGGGTTTTTCTGTCTCCTTCTTTGCCATAGGCTGACTATCATTTCTTCATATCTCATTTATCAGCTCTTTCTTTTTCTTATTTGTGATTTTTCATATGGTGTAGTCCTGAAAACCAGTTAACCAGTTAGAATTGTGATAGGTTCAGAATCTTCTGAAAACAGCAGTTCTTGCCAATGGACTTTGTTACATCTTTTTTTTTTTTGGATAGCTCAAAAAAAATATACCCTGCTGCATAGTTCCTCAACTAAGTCTCAAGTGGGTGTTCTTCCCGGGTAGCTGAGTTTTATATATGTGAAGACTGCAGTGTTGTCAATATGGAAACATATAATCAACCTCTCTGTTTTTTTGTGTGTAATTTTTATGAAGAATGCATAGCAATTATTATTTTTAATGGTGAGAGACTAAGAAATTAGGTCAAGTGGACTGACCTCAGGAACTTCAGGAGAAGAAAGCAAGACTGGGTTTTCATTTTGGGCTGGGGAATTGTCAGCTTTCAATTTGTCTCCTGAACCTTGAGGGAAAGAAGTGATATAACTGATGTGGGAAGGCCACTTGGGTGTGTATGTCTTTAGTTATAACGTTCTGTAGTACAAAATGGAGACACTGATTGTTGGCAGCCAATTCATCAGCAGTGGCTATATCCAGGAGGAATGCAGTGAATTTGAAAAATGGGAGGGGCAAACTTACTTTATTTGCATTACTTGTATGCTTCAATTTATTACAAGAATCTATTGTTAAATAAATTAAAGGGGCTGGGGATGTGGCTCAGGTGGTATCGCGCTCACCTGGCATGCGTGAGGCACTGGGTTCGATCCTCAGCACCACATAAAAAAATAAAATAAAGATATTGTGTCCACCTAGAACTAAAAATTTTTAAAAAAAAAATTAAATTAATTAATTAATTAATTAAAGAACAAAAACTTCACTACCAGGGGATAAAAAGTGGAGTAATCTGCCTTCTAGATGCTGTGCTTGTGATTTCTACAATAATATTTAACTTTTCTTAAGCACCTCAGGTACTGAGCTAGGAAGTTGACATGTATTACCTCTAGTCTTCATAAATATTATTTATTTTTGAACAAAGTAATATTTTTCTCATTTTTAGATTAAACTTTAACTTAGTGTCTTTAGACAACTGGCAATGGGTGAACTAGAACTTGAAGTGAGATTCATATGGTTCCCAAGTCTGCATTTTTCTCCATTGAGCTGCTCTGGATAAAAAGTGCTGCCTGATAGGAGTAGGAACCCAGGCCATCAGCCAGATCAAAAGAGCAGCTAAGCCAATTATGTCTGTGGCACATGCCTGTAATTCCAGCAGCTCGGGAGGCTGAGACAGGAGGATTGCAAGTTCAAGGCCAGCCTCAGAAACTTAGGCTGTCTCAAAATTAAAAAACAAAAATGGCTGGAGATGACACTCAGTGGCTGAGTGTCCCTGTATTAAATCTCCACAACCATAAATAAATAAGTAGATAAATAACAAAGTAAATAAATAAGTTAAAGCAAGATAACAATATTGATGAAGTTTTAATTTTTATTCTGTTTTTAATCTGTGACTTTTCTGTGAGACTATTAATAGTTTTTGGCAGAAGTCCTACCAAAAAATTAATTAAACTCTTCATGTATTGTCCTTTTTTTTTTTTTTTTTTTTTTCGAGTTGAAATCCATAAGGCTGAGAAGTTAAAAAGGAGTGTGCTGAAGTTGTTTCCCTTCCCCTGGTCTATGAACCCTTTCCCACCACCACTCTAGTACTTATTCAGATCCCCAGTACTAATATACAAGCTTCAGGTTCCAGCCTCTGAGTGGCCAGTCGAGTCTCTGAGCCCACCAGGTGTCCCTTTCCATTAGAGCTCTGTGGAGTTAATATGGAGGAATCAGTTGTGATTTCAGATGCCTTATAGGCTTCTGTGGTTTGCTTCTGACAGTTTCCCTTGGTTTGTTTAAAAGAACGTAGCGGGAATCAAAACCACATCAAAACTTCTAACATGTATGTAGAATACTTGAAGAAAATATAGAAAGTTACTTTTCATACCCTTTTTTTTATTTAATTCTTTGTTGTGTGTGTTCAAAGATAATAATTGAAGTTTTTCTTTCAGGGTAGAAAATTAAGTTGCTGTTGTTTTTCTACAGTGGTATTCCCTATTTGTTGCTGTGGTACGCCAAAGAAAAACCCTTTCATCTTTAGAGAAATTTTAAGGACCATCTCAAGAAGAATTTAGATATTTGACATATTCGACCTTAAATATTTGAGAAAACACTAATTTGCCTGTTTTAGATGTTGATTTGCTTTAAGGGCTAGAATTGTACTGAAGAGATTTCTCGATTTCTCCTTCAGTAGCTAATGATCTGATTCCTTCTAATGTACTCAAAACATATTATGTAAGACAGACATTTTAATTTCTTATGATTGTCTTAGCATATGTTCTTTAAACTTGATAAAGTATATGTAGTTTGGAACTTGAGAAAACTAGAGGTATTAAAATTACTTGGATTTTTGTCATTTAAGGATACTAAACACCTATGAATTTTAAAAAATGTGAGTAATCATGTTCAGTTATAATAAGAAAAGCCTTCACTGTTTCTAATGTGTCCTATTCTTATTGGATGTTAAAATGATAATGTAATTTTTCTTATTGTGATTTATAGTTGATCATTACAGTAACCAAACATCAAGCAATAAAGTTACATTTGTCTCATCTGCATATAAAAATAACTGTATAGAAGATCTTAGGTGATTTTCACATTTTCTTTTCTCAGATGTATCATGACCACTTAATAGCTACTGAGAAACAGCATCAACTCCAGTGGGAGGATTTCATGAAAGAACAACCCCGCCGTCAGGCTGAGGTGGATGAAGAACACAGAAGAGCCATGGAGAGGCTTAAAGAACAATATGCTGAGATGGAGAAGGGCCTAGCAAAATTCTCAACTTTTTAAGAACTTGAACCACAACATTCACAAATGGAGGAGAATTCATTGACTGCTCCACAAAATACTCCCACCAACATTTAGCCTCTGCTTCAAGCTTAGCAATACCTTCAGTGGCACTCTTCAGTGGCACACAGAGAAACTGCAGCTGGAGCCTGACTGAATGGCCAATAGAAGAAGAGTGCTCTACCATTCCTGTTTCAAGTGCCTAAATATGATCATTTGAGAGGGGAAGAAGAGGAGGAAAATGAGACGAATTTACTCTTTGTCAGAATTTGATTTGTTTTCTGATCATTAGCTGAGAGAACTATAACTACAGACTTCTTAGAAGGATCTTTCAACTCATTCTCATACAGGGTTGATGTTAATTACTGTAGCTTAAAAGGCAGGTAGCATAGCTGCCTCCCACAGCTTCCCTGGCTGTGAGAGACCTAAGGATGCATAAAGTGTTATTCCGTGAGTAATGTAAACAAACAGCTGGCCTTGGAACAAAGATCACATTTAAAAGAGGGAATGATCAAAGCATTGTCTCCACTATGACAAAGATGGCCACGGTGGTGCTGGCACTGCCTGTTGGGAAAGATCAGATTTTGCAGTGCAGCAGAGTGCCGTTCGTTTCCCTGGAGGACAAGACGTGTGTGTTAAGCTTTGTGGCCTTCCAGCTCTTAGTATTTTCATCTTTTGAAACATGCTTAGGAAGAAAAGCTTACCAAAAATATATGTTGGCTTTTAGCCTTTTTCCAAGAACCACAATCTTGCCCATAGTATTTACCTCATTTTTGTGTCTGTTTTTCTGTGGGTAAGCTTTATAAGATAAATAACGTCTATACATGTTCAACTGTTTAATGAGTAATTAGCAAATTCTGCCAAGGAATCCCTCTGGAACCATATAAGCATTCTGGCTCTGAATGAACCAGAAGTGTTTGTCCACGTGGCAAATGATCCATGTTAAATGTAAATCCTTTTTAATGTTCACGTCTGTTCTCATAAGCAGGTGTATTATGATGAAACATGTACCAATTTTGTCATCACTGTGATTTTTAAAATTCTGCATTTAACAGTTGAAGAACTAAGTTGATTTTGTTTGCCATAAACCAAGCAAAAGTAAATGCAATAATTTCAGGAGATTTATGGAAAATGAATTTGAGGTATGGCCAAATCTTTGTAATAGTTTTCATTGCTTTTCAGTCAAGAAAGGTACAAGAAAGAAAATACCTAACTTTCTCATCTTATCTCAGTGTTGCGACTGCAGAAAATTGACAATGCTTGACTGTGTAAACTTATGGCTTACTGTCAAAGCTTCATTCTTGGCTGCATGTTGAAAATGTGATTAAAGTTAATAGAGGAGATGAAATAAGTATTTGAGATTTCTTTCAATAACACTGAACTTCTGCCAACTTTCTCTGTCTGCTACTGTAGGCTTGACAGATTCATCAATCATCCTCTGGTACCTGGACTAAAAAGAGTACTTGCTGACACTAAGGCATGCTGGAATTTTCTTAATTCTTTCAGTGGATGGAAAAAAAAAAAAAAAAAACTTCCAAAAATATCCCACACATAAAAAGGGAGGGGAGCCTTAAATGAAAATTCCCTTTGTATCATAGGCACTTTACGGAATGCCATTAATCGCCAACACACCATTGAACAGATGCTGTAGCCAAGAACTCGGGATTATATGTGTGAGTGGGAATGTACTCTGTGGTTGCTCAACTGGCACAGGAAAACTTTTCTGATAGTTTTTGTTAATCTCACATAAATAAATACTTTACCTTGTAAGTTTGTATATATTACACAAGTATCTAAGAGACTTCTAGACCAAAACAAATTCAAGGGGTTCTTGAGCTTTAAACAGTAAGATACTCAGTTCTTTCTTTGTAATTTTGTTAGCTATTCAACCTAACTTCTAAAAGGGTGGTTCGTTTATCCTCCTTTTGATATTTTTAGTGCTGAACACTTTTGCTTCTGTTTCCCAGTTTTCCAGACTACTTTTGTTATGTATTTATTTTATGTAAAAATTGATATTAATCATTTCATAATTTACATTTCTGCTATGTTGAACAGAAATACTGTGGGTCCTCTGAAGTTCACAGGATTATGATACGATTAAATGAAGTAATATTTTGTGATTTTAAAGCACTATAGAATTATTTAATTATTTTAAATTCTAAGTATTTTCCAATATTCATTATGATTTCTTGTCTGACTGCAGGAGGCTTTTTTCCTTCATTTCCTAACAGATTTTTAAATTCTATTTTGATTGATTCTTCCTTTAATGGAATTATAGAGAATAGATACATATAATACTGATCTGCTGAAATTTGTTGATAACTGCTTTAAGACCTAGACTGTGGTCAACTTATGTAAATGGTTTTTGAAAAGTATACATATTTTCCAGATGTTGCTTGTTCATTAGACTAACATTTTTTTTTGTATTGCTCAAATTCTCTATTTTACTGTTACCTTTTTTCCTTCTGCTTGATCTCTCATATTCTGAAACATGTTAGAATTTTCTAGTGGAGTTACTAATTTCAATAGCATCTATTTCTAGTGATGCTTCATTTTGCATTGCCTTAAATATAAACTAGTATTTATATGGGATTTTTATCCTTTTGTTGGATTTCTCTATTAGGTTTTAAATAGGTCTCTTCAAAACTATAAATGGCTCTCTTTCCCTCTGGGTTTTCATTTTATTTTCCACACTGAAGCTCGGCCGAGAATGTGATGGGATTAGGTACACTACTTTCATACATGTCAGCATGGGGTTCCACTGACCTGTAGAATTTGAGCTGTTCCATGACTGAAGGTGCCAGAGATAAGCATTGAAGAGCTTGTACCTTGAAGGTACTTTTCTGAGATAAGTTCCTGAGTAAGGTGCTTCATGTGGGAACACTTAGGGCTTCTTTACAGTAGCCCTCAGAGGTTAGCCGAGATTCCAGGTTACCTCACTGGGCCTGTAGAATTCCCAGGGAATTACATTAAAATATCAAGTTTGGGTGCCAAATTTGTAGCTTCCTCAAACCAGAACTCATGATAAACTTCAATATTTTCCATCACTTCATTGAGTGAATACAGTTCTGCAGTCAAATTACTTAAAAGTGTAATTTTCTTTTCGGTTATTTTTTAAATTGGGGAGTTTAATCTATTTACATTTGTTGACATTACTAATTTTAGGGATTATTTTGTGGTTTATTTTATTTCTTGGTTTCTGTCCTGCCTTTTCTGTTTTTTCAAAGCCCTGTTTTCTTGCCTTCTTGTAGATTGAGTTTTGTTATGTTAACTTGTAATAGTTTATATAAGTTTTCAAATTTTATATTTTAGTGCTTATCAGGAAATTTAACTTGCACAGTTAACAAAATCTAAAGTTAATATTTTTACTCTCTTCCTAAACATTAGAGACTTTAGAACTGTCTGATAGGCTCCCCTAAATTTACAAATACATTATTGTCTAGAATTTTAGTCCTGTCTAGGTTTAACTCCAAATATAATTATTTTATAGAGTCAATGTTTGTTTAGACTTACCTACAAGTTTACCATTTTATTGTTCTCAAAAAAGCTAGCTGGGGGCTGGGGCTGTAGCTCAGTGGTAGACTGCTTGCTTAGCACGTGTAAGGCACTGGGTTTGGTCTTCAGCACCACATATAAATAAATAAATAGATAGATAGATAAAGGTATTGTGTCCATGCACAACTAGATAAAATATTTTTTTTAAAAAAAAAGCTAGCTGGGTGAACACGTCTAGGTTGACAGCTGTCTTCTCTCTGATATTTCTCCTCCGTTCTCTTTCTTCAGTTATTCCTTTGCTTCTGAAGTGACAGCTGTCGGTGTGACTAATATTCTTGTAGCTACTCTGTCTTCTCTCCCCAAGTCATGTTTAAGATTTTTGTCTTTGGTGTTCCACAGCCTTGTGTCATCGCATCACAATGTGTTTAGCTAAGGCTTTCTTGTCATCATCCCAAATTAATGCTTAATTTAGGCCTTTTGTGAATTATGGAAGATTCTTAGCTGTTATCTCTTTGAATTTTTTGTCTCCTGTGTTCTCTCTATTCTGTCCTTCATGAAATCAAATTAGCCTCGTGTTTTACCTTCTCCCCGACTTCTCCAGATCTCTAAATCTTGGTTTCATATTTTCTACATATTTTTCCTCTATTTGTTGAATTCTGGATAATTTCTTTAGATCTGTTGTCCAGTTCACAAATTTTGTCTTCTCCCTCCTCCTCTCCACCCTCTCACCTCTTTAACTTCTCTTTTGCTATTTTTTAGAGTTATTGTGGGTTTTTTTTTTTTTCTTTTTCATTTTTAGAAGTGTTGCCTTGGTACTTTTTCGAACTTTCCTTATAATTAAGGATAGTTCTATTAGTCCGTTTTTTCTTTTCTTTGAACATACTAAATCCTTATTTTGAATTCTGTGATAATTGTAGTATTGGGGGGGGGCGGGGTGTATGTAAGGCGTTTGTGTGTCTGAACCTATAGTTTGTTGCTATGGCTGAAACAAGCTTATGGTGACTGGTGACTAGTGTCTTAGCGTGACTGGTGATTGTTGGTTGTGAGTTCATAGTCCCCTGGACTTTTCCGTGTACTGCCGATACCTTTCTCATAACACTGCAAACCCCACGCAGCTTCAATGTCAATTTCTCCTTGGTGCCCTGCCTCTCCAGTTCCAGTGCTGTCTGTGAATTTAGACCTAAACAGATGTGACTGTGACAAAGCTTTCCCAGAGGACTCTCTTGCACCCCTTTGTAACTCTGTGGTTTGTTCTTAATCCTTCAGAGATGTTTTATAATTATTTCACTAGTTTCAATTCTCATAAAATGTGAACATTAATATTTTCTCTTGGTACAGCTCATAGTTATTCAGTGAACAGGGAATAGAAATCAGTCAAATTACTGTTTGCCTGTTCTTCCTCATTCTGCTCATTTTAAAATTTTATTTATTTGTTTTGGTATCAAGAATCAAACCCAAGAGTGTTTAACCACTGAGCCACATCCCCAGCCCTTTTTTGTATTTTATTTAGAGATAGAGTCTCTCTGAGTTGCTTAGGACCTTGCTAAATTGCTGAGGCTGGCTTTGAACTTGCCATCCTCCTTCCTTAGCCTTTCAAATCACTGGGATTACAGGCATGGGCCACTGCGCCTGGCTTGCTCATTTTAAAATTTTAACTCCCCCAAATAGTGCTTTCTTGTGACTATTCTGGCAGCCACAGCAAAGCAGTATTCTGATATTTATATTCATGTTCCACAAGCAAGAGAACACAAACCTACATTACCAACATTTCAGTAACTTAATAAATGAACTAATATTTGGTCCTCACAAAAACTCAGGGTCCAGATCTCTGAAGAAATAGTCAACATAAATGTAAGGTATTTAAACACAGTGCATATATTTATATAATGTAGCTTGCAAGTACTTTTAAGTGCCTTATATATAATTTCATCTTACTTTGTCCTTGTAACCAAGTAGTACCCACTTGGCCCTTTTAAAGAAAAAAACTGTAGGGAAATATGAGGAATATAGTGTTTTACCTACCAACAACCCATTGCATGACTAGATGAGACAATACTTTTATGCTTTTTAAAAACTTTCCTAAGTGATATCATAAAGATCCATAGTACAGATGGATCAAAAAAGTTTTCCATAGCTTTCTAAAAAGTCTTCTGTGTTACAAACATTAGTAAATCAATACATAAAATTTTGTTTAACCATTCACTAGATCATCAGGCTGTGCTGCAAGATAGAATAGAAAGTGAGGTGATAGATATGGTAATGAGCCCGACTTGGTCTTTCCACAATGTATATGTGTATTGAAATATCACATTGAACACCATAAATATGTACAGTTATGGTTTGGCAATTTAAAAGAAAAAATATTTTGATCATGGCCAGGTTAAGAAGCAGTTAAGTACCACCCTGCAGAGAGCAGTGAGTGACTCAAGGCCGCTTGGAACCAGCCGCTGAGTGAAGTGGCACCCTGGCGCAGCGCTTACTGCTGACAGCAAGAGAGGAGGGCGTGTGCAGGAGACCTGGGGCTGGCAAGGACGTGTCTCTCGTGACCAGCAGCTCCACGCTCAGCCCCAATGCGCTCTGCGGAAAATGAAGGTGTGTGCCTTTTCATCGTTCCTGGAGTAATCATTTTTCTTTTTAAATTTCAAAAAGAAAATGTGGTGAAACCAGACAGGAATCAGAGTCAACCTGCAGAGCAAATATTAGCACCATCTACGAGTGTGAAGTTTGACTGTGAGAGAAAATTGTGTAAATTGGCTAGAGAGGGCTTCAGTTGGCTCCATGTGAATCTGATTCCTGACATTTATGAAATCACCCAGATTGCTACCATAATTCTTCAGAGAAAAGATTCTGTAA